TTGACAGCGCTGTAAGTGTAAAACTACGAATTGGCAAAACACTGGAACGTTTTTTTCGCGCACTGTATATTAATAGTACATATCTGAGTGTATATCGCTAAGCATACATCTTTAGCATGTATCTGGATATATGGCATGTCTATAGCATGTCTCATATATAGTACAAGCCTGTAGTACATAAAGTATCTGTAGCTAGTATCACGGATATAAGCATGTGTCTTATAGCGTGGATCATAAAGTGCATATCTGAAGCAACAAGCTCATATTGCATTAATCTTGGTGCCTATCCAGATATGGTAAACATCCGTAGTCAATGTCGGAATACAAGTATAAGTCTATAGTGCCATCCATGTCCGTGGTGCCATCTATAGCCTATATCTTATATAGTATGAATCTTATAGTACTAGCGTAGTATCTGAAGTCCATATCTTTTTATAGTATACATCGATATCATGCATCTAATCCAGTGTACATACAGTTTATATCTAAATCTGGTAACTGGATGAACTGTCGGAATGCAGATCATAGTGGATGTATTCCACAGAGTGTGCAAGAGTGCCTCAGGAAGTACAATAGATTCAATCTCCCTGTTGTCAAGATATCGAGATCCACCTACACTACATGAAACATATCGACTTAGGTGGTCTCTCAACAAGCTATACCAGCAATCCATAAGACTCCAGTGGCCTGCTATTTATATACCATCTCAACATAGTAGTCATTTACCAGGTATCTATCATATTTAAGCTAGTTATATGCCCTGTAATAAAGAAGCCCTTTGTTTTCGTTTTAGATGCAGTTGACAACTGATTATTATCATCGACTATTATTGAATTGTCAGAAAAAAATTATTTATAAAAAAGAGTATGAAATCAATCAGGTAAAGAATATCATTTATTACATTGAAAATAAGAGGGTTTACATACTATTCAAATTGAGGGATTTGATGTGAGGATAAGGTATTAGATGGGTTGATTTGGGTGATAGGATAATAGATCCAATCTATTATCCTGAACATGCAATGATATGGACTGTAACTGAATCCTGTTTCATGTCAAAGTTTATGATCTGATGTGATCGGTGCTTGAACTGCTTGTTTCTACGCATTTGGAGATCCGGTTTAGAAATGATACATCAATTATTACGAATTCATCACTACGCCTTATGTTTAGGTCAAATTCTGTCCAAATGTAGTCATTTTTCAACTTGAATAACTCATGCTACAAAGCGTTTTGGACGCTTGGAATAGCACCAAACGAATTCCCTTGATTGCGCTTTACTTATTGATGCTTTATCACAATTTTTTTGGGTCATTGCAAATTCCTGAAAATCATCGTTTTTCATGAGTATTAGCAAGGGAAAATTCTTGAATATCAAACGATCGCGGTTTTCACCCCAGAAATGAAGGCCTTTCCTATGATACATATCAGATCAAATTGATCGTAAAGATGGAATGCAACGATGGAAGCTCTTTCTATGAGACTTGTATATGCGAAATCTTGACATATTTACAGAAAACCTGTTTTCATACTTTTGCAAATTGCTCATTATTATTGGTCTGAAAGCGGAGTGTAATGAACATCATTTGATGCAGCTTCTTTAGTGCTGTAAAGCTATATTAGAAAGCTGGATGTGATAACGACAGTTTTCATAGTCAAATTTAGCAAAAATGTTTAAAAGATGTCAGATCATGTCAAATTTGAACACGAAAATACCCACTGCACAATTTCAAATTAAAATTCAGCAATTACGGCTGCCACTGCAGAAAACCGAGACTAAATCTACTGGCCGTGACGTCGGATAGGGCGCCCTCTTATTTTTCCATACCCTCGTTTTTTTTCCCTTTTTTGCAAAGCGCGTTTAGTATCAAACCATGGTGGTCTTGGAAACTGTTTGATTGATAATAACACTCTATCTTTTGATAACACTGTCGCGCACTGTTAGAAGTATTTTATACTGCTTCTTTAGAGTGGAATATATTAGGTACCATTCAATAACAAGCACTGGAAGGCGTAAAATTAACATTAATTGAATTTGTTTATTAGGTTTTGATGATTCTTTTTGTCTGTTTGACGTGGGTGTTACTGCCATTACTTCTCTGCCATCCTTACTGTCTGCTTCCTTGGTGTGTCATGTCTGTTGGTTGCTTCTTTAGCCGTTGTACGGTCTCTAATGCCGTTCGTTCTTTAGTTATTATTCTATGATGCTGGTATTGCTGCTGCTGCTAATCTGGTCTTTCCTGGTCTACTGTATTTGGTGCATGCTCGTTCTCTGGTCCATATCCGGTAATTGCGTAATATCTGGTCTATCTGTGGTGGTGATAAGTGGTAAGTAACCTCTTTGGTCTTTGTCTTCTCTCTTCTAATGCCGTTCGTTCTTTAGTTTTTCTATGGTGCTGGTATTACTGCTGCTGCTAGTCTGGTCTCTCCTGGTCTACTGTATTTGGTGCATGCTCGTTTTCTGGTCTGTCTCCGGTGATTGCCTTTACTCTTCTGGTCTATCTGTGGCTGTGGTAAGTGGTAAGTATCTTCTTTCTTCTGGTCGCAATGATATAAAACTTCTTTGAATGTTTATATTATTACTTCCTTTCTCGTGATAATGCATTCATCATGTTTGCCTTGTTGCGCTTTTTTCTTCTTTTTTTTTCTTTCTTTTGTTGGTAGTGTTTCCTCTGTAGCTTTACATGAAACAACAATAGTTATTACGTTGTATTGCAAACTTACAATACCACTGTTGCTTTTGCAGTTGTGCGTATTTGTGCCATGTTGCTTTACATCTGACTATTACTACCATGCACGTTGCTCATGTATGCATTTTTATTGCAAGAACAACGAATTATTTTGACCATCTTTGATGTTGTATTTGTGATATGCTTTTCTTTGACCCACTTTGTGTGGGTATCCTTTTTTTTTGCCAGCATACTACTCTACTCCTATAGTAATATGTTCTTTTCTTCTTTCTTTTATTATTATGTTTCTTTTGAAGCATACCTTTTTTACGTTGTGTGGATGTGCCTATCCCTGAAGCTCAACAAGACATTATCCGAGGCTAGGAGGTAGATAGGCCGCCTCCACTTGGTTATCGCTACTTACTTTAGTGATGATTGAGAGTCTCAATGCCAGAATTTAAAAGCTAGGTGGTGTAAGTAAGGCATGCTCTAGCACCTGGGGGAAATTTGATGATAGCATCTGCTATACTGCTGTATAACGGAGCTTAAAATTTTGCCTCACATCAAAACAGGGGGAAACCCTCGCAAATTTTTTTTAGGTCAGCGGAGTTTTTACGCAATATGATTGGCTGAGAGGTTCAGAGACCGAAGGATTCTAGCTAGTTGATCTCTTATTGAGCTGTCATCTATAATGAGTTTATATTTGTAATAAAAGGGTAGCGAAATACATACAATATAAATTCTTCTTTATATAAATATAAGGTAATAAGATGCAATTATTTGATCCAGCATTTCGTATGCGGTTTCATTTGACGGATATTTTCTGGATGTACTATGCGCGATGGCTATATAAGTAGTACCAGCAGCAGTACTTGTTGTGATAGAAAAAATACCTTATCAAAGTGATTTCAACCTTCTAGAGATTGGAGGCATTATCCAAATCAAGCTTTTAAATATTGATACTAGAGCTTTAAAAGTATCAAGTTACTGTAGCAAAATTTTGCGAGAAAACTTTTTCTTCATGAATTTAATCTTGCTTTCCTGTGTTTGCTCTATAAAATGAGACGTAGTAAACTCAGTATCTGCAATGCGTCCTTGCAAGGATTGGGGTTTCTACCCCTCCAAAAAACTATAGTTTACAGTGGCAAAAACACATTTTTTGTTTATCACAGCACAGAGGCGTCCCTGTGATGCTCAACTCTAGTTAACAAGCTTACGGCGTGGAATGGATGATGAAAGCAACGCACAACAAGGACTTTATATACTGCACTGTATCGAAAATTAGCCTTGCTCGATTGACTTTGGTGGACAATTTCGGCTGGGGCTGACATATTGAACACAGTAAAAGGCCCATGATCACTCATGCTACCGAGCCGAGTAAGGCCCCAAACGATGCTTAACGCTTAGGCTTGTACAAAGCATAAGTTGTTGGTGCAGTTTTAATACATACTTTTGTTTGAAAAAACTCAAAATATCTGAAAAACGAGTTTGTCTGAATAAAAGCTGTGGGATAGCTATCAAAAGTAGTACCATTCGAAGAGTATTTTAATTCTGCACAATGGTTACTACCAAAAAGAATACGTTCGAAGGATGGTAGTGTTAACGTTAGTGCTGCGTGTCTCATTCTGAGCATATAATTTGCTTTCTTGCTCGCATGCAACAACCTTCTGATTACAGGTATTTGATCCGTCGTAGATAATACGTTGTTGGAAAACAAGGCAGCCAAACCCGGTTGATCATATCATAGTTGTTGTCGCCTAGGATTAAGGCGACAGCTAATAACTGAACCGCAATCCTCGTATTTTTCATTGCTTCGCGTTGCGCCGTGAACTCCCTGCCATATCATGAAATGTAGATTGTTCTTTTCCAAAGATTGTGGCTCTATATCAGTCCTTTGCATATCAAGGACGAATCGTATCAATAAACCTATAATATATCCAAGATTATTGAGAAGCCAAAAGCGCACATCTATATTAGAAGCTATGGACTTTGTACAAAGTGCACGTCCTGTAAGCACAATATCATGTACAATTGCTGAATCCTGTGAAACCGGGAGATTCTGAAACCTATCGAAAGCCTGTAGCATGATGAAAATCAAAGATAAAGTTAGATACAGCTCTTCTCCTTTGTCTTTTCTCTATCCAGTACAACAATGAGCAAAGCGCCAAGATTGCTGCCATTCGAGGTATTTCAGCTGATAGAATCCTATCTACAAGATGACGAGAGAGCAGAATGTATTAAAGTTTGTTGGAATTGGTATATTGTTTTCAAACAATTACTGTATCGAGATATAACAATTGGAAGCCAAAGGCAATTCAGCAGCTTCTACAGGATGCTCAACCAAGGCTACAATACCATGGATGATACTGGAAGGCATGTCAAATCTATCCGGTTTCTGCCCTCACCCACATTCTCGGCGTCGAAACAGCAGTATTGTAGATTCTTGAACCAGCTCACTAAGTTGCCAATGATATGTCCTAATATCACATCCCTACGTATACCTGACCATGTATTAATGTGGAATCGCAAAGAAGAAGAAGACCAAAGCAATTTATCGTTGAACAACTTGCACATTCTTCAAGCATACACGACTGTTTTGACTGAAGTTGAGTTGGCATTTTATGGCCCCATTTGGCCATGTTTGACAAGTCCACACCGACTACAGCACATCAAGTTGACTTGGCCGGATGGAAAACTATGCTTGAAGCATTTGGAAGAGGTCCATCAACATTGCAGTTTGCTGGAGGCACTTGATATTTCGGTACTACAGTTCGATACGTCGCCCATTACACTAGGTTTTCAGACGAACGTTGCAACAAAACTAACGCACTTCACCCTCAAAAGTCAACACTTTATCAGCAGCGTTGAACCTGTCTTTATGTATGCAGCACTTAAATACCCTCAACTACAACACCTGGGCATTCAATCAGCATCACCAACTTCCACTAAAACAGATTTAGAGGAGGAGGAGGAGGAGGAGGAAGAGCTCGACATTGGCACAATACTTTTAAATCGATACAGCGCTTATTCATCGTTTGTTCGTAAATGCCTCCATGTCAACTCTTTGGCACTAGGGAACATACTGCCAGATCAAGTTCTGCTAGAAGCGATTTCCACCATGGGTATTCAACTGAAGCAAATATCCATTGAATCTGTATTTGGTCTGTCTCGAAGTACGTACGATTTAATGATGCTTACGATACAACATGCAGTGACATCCATGACACTGCATTCTTTACTGCGTGTACGCAGTGCCACTGAAACCCTCCTGGGAACGTTAGCCTCATGCCGCAAGCTAGCCCATCTGGATTTAGGCAAGCAATCTGATGTACCTGTAGACCTTGTGCTTGATCAATGTCCTCAGTTGATTTCATTGGGTCTGTACGATACAATGGCCAGACTAAACACAGTGGACAATGGCGACAAGTGGGTACATCCCTCTCAACATGTCAAGTTACACCGATTCTCATTAGACAAAGTCATGTTTGATAACAGCGTATTTGATTATCTTGCTCGTCGATGTCCCAAATTAACACAGCTCACCATTGTCAACAGCATTTGCTCTTCTTCTAATACATTTGTTCGTATTCATATGTCTTTGTCACGTTTGGGTCAAGTGAAGATTGATAGACTCTTTGCTGGTCGATACAGTCGCAAACTGGAGGAGCAAATCACTCAAGTCGCCCTGAGCATCATTCAACAGAGGCCAACGGAATTGCAATGTGAACGGCCAGATTTTGATGCAGATATTACTCGCTGGTACGAGGCAGGCAGATGGGGCATCGAGCCTTGTGGCTATTTGTCCATCTGTTGCCAGGCTATTGATCGATTATTTGTCAATGGAATCAAGCTGATTTAAACTCCCTATTGAGGAAAAGAGTTTGTTCAGTGTTGGTTGTTTGAATTAAATAAAATTCGTGTCCTTTAATTTTCTTTTTCTTCTTTTTCACTTTATTTGTGTGCTTTTTTTTTTTTTCCCGATAAAATGAATGATTTCGCAAGTGAACCAAGTGAAGGCGCTACTTCCAGCCTGTTAGCGCAAAAATCCCAACTTGAGAGAGTAAGTTCTGCTTGGATGTACGTTTGAGCTGGAAAATTCACACAATATGTAGCGTTTTCAACAAATTTTGGACCAAGTTACACCTTTTGCACCTTACAGATGGGTAGGTACATCTGTACTTTTAGTGCTGTTCATGTTTCGTGTCATTTATGCAGAGGGATGGTATATTATTGCGTAAGTATCTTGTTGGGTGGAGACAGTGGTGCAAAGAGAGCTAACGGCCTGTTTGTTCATTGCGTAGATATGCTTTAGGTACGAAGAGATAGATAATGAGCAAGAGAAGGGACATTTACATTAGGATAGGCATCTACATTTTGAATCTGTTCTTGGCCTTCTTGACACCAAAGTTTGACCCATCTGTCGAAATGGACACTCAAGCAAGTGAAATGGAAGAAGGACCATCCCTTCCCATGAAGAATGATGAAGAATTCAAGCCATTTATTCGTCGCTTACCCGAGTTCAAGTTTTGGTAAGACTTTCAAAGAGGGAAAGAGAGGGAGGCGAGAATCGGAAGATAATGACATTGGCGTTCATAGGTACTCTGTGACCAAGGCAACCGTTATTTCAATCGTCTGTTCATTGATCCCCTTCTTTGATATTCCCGTTTACTGGCCCATCTTGTTGATGTATTTCATCATCTTGTTTGGTTTAACTATGCGCAGACAAATCAGCCATATGATCAAGTATAGATATATTCCATTCGATTTGGGCAAGAAGAGCTACAGCAACAGAAGAAGAGTATAGATCAAATGCGAGAGAGGCAGCGAAAATTAATACACCATTTTATATCAAGTAATAAATTGTAAATCATTCAGTAGTAACAGTACGCATTCAGTGTGAGATTTGAAGGGGCGTTTGGGATGAACAGAGGCACAATTTGCTATAGGCGTCCAATAGCGAATAATGCTAGTTTTGGAGGCTCTGACAAGTGAACACCGGACATACAGCGGAATCATGATTTTCTCAGGGATATTCTTCATCGTTCAAAACGAAATGTGCCTGAATTCACACACAAAGCTCGAAACAATGACCATTGTACTTGACCTTGACCAAATTCTCACGTGGAAAGCGGTTGGTAAGATAGTTTCTTTTTCCGATGTAAATGTGATTACAATTAGCATTCCCTTTTCCTCTCTCCTTTATAACAAAACAATGTCCAAGCAAGGTTGAATCAGAACATGACGTCCAATGGCTTGCAAGCTTACTTATACAATAATTTCAGACTTAAAAGTCTTATTTAATAGATTTGCAAACAATGACGTTCCCAACACAATGACAGCACCTAATGTAAGGAGAGCCTGTGTTGCTGCCATTATTCGCTGGAGACCCTATTTGGAAGTAAATTCGTCCACAGCCGCTACGCAAGAGCAACAACAAACAGAGAAATTGGCCGTGTCGCCTATGGAATTCCTAAATCAATCCTGGGTAAATGACACCCAAGGCGAGGCTGAAATTTTATTTATACAGCGTGCTTTACATCCAGGGGATTTGTAAGTGAAATTCTCGTTTTTTTTAGCGCTGTTAGTGAATCATTATGTATAGCTGGTCTGGTCATGTTGCATTTCCAGGTGGCAAGAATGAGCCTCAAGACAAATCTGATCTCGATACAGTGATTCGTGAATGCAAAGAGGAGATTGGCATTGATCTGAGCTCGCCCAGCTTCATACCATTAGGCACATTGGAGCATCGGGACATCAAAAACATCAAATTGAACAAGCTAATGATGGTGCTGATACCTCATGGTAATTTAACCTAAACAACGATAACAACAGCCATCTCATACTCAAATATGAAACAGTTTTCTTGCAGGTATCTGCTATCACACCACCATTGACAATTCAGACGTCTGAAGTAGCCGAAATACATTGTAAATGTTGTAAATATCAAATATGGCTGTAGATGTACTGAGCAATTTAAATAGGGATACCTGTCAAATACCTTTTAAGAGAGCCCATTGTGGCCTATAGCCCTTTGGGAGACGTTGTGGTTGCTCCTGAAATGCACACGCCATTTCCACCATCTGTCAAGGTCGCCGCTATCCCATTCTTCAGTACCAAAAACAACAGAAAACCCCACTTATGGGGGATGACACTGAGAATGACACAGGATATCTTTGACATGACACCCTCACACACTGTCATGACCGATGAAGAAGCAGAAAAATACGAATCAAAGCTATGATTCAATGGTAGAATCCCCAGTAGAATTTACTACCCTATCCTTGTGGAACGAATAAAAACTGCCATGGGGTGAAGTAATGCCGAACTTCCAAGAGAATCTTTAATAAACTTTGATACCAAGACTTTTCTATATGCTGTGCATAAGAGATTTGTACCTTAAGTTTGTATAGTTACATTTGTGGAATGCGATGCAGTTTATTATATGACTATGTAGTAGTAGTGAAATTAAGGGAATTAGAATGTAAAATGTATGTAAATATATGTAGAATACAGCGCTATTAATGTTGTTTAACGTCCTGTTGGAAAAAGGCGTCGGAATGGGGTGTAATAGGTGAGGGAGGGTCAGAACAGGTAGGCGATGTTGATGTCGATGGAAGCGATGAAGGGCCACTGGCAGCGTTGGTGATTATATACATGTGCTTCTTTGTAACTGCACGAAGAGGTACATGGTCATAGCTGTTGGTGGAATCCTCTTGCTCTTCTTCATCCTCGTCTGTCAATACAAAACTGCCATTGTCAACACCGTGATGTACGCTCTTCATCAACATGGCTTCGGTATCAGCGTGCTCGGCCATGCTCAGCGTATTCATAAATCTTTCCATTTCAATGGAGCGAACAAAGTTACCAAAGGAATTCTTTACAGACACTTTCGAATCAATGTAATCTAGACGAGTGAGACATCCAGGACGAATCATGGGAAGATACCGGCGGAAGCAAAAGAAGGCAAGTGTAGCATAAATGGAGCCACCGACAAGATCAATGAGATAATGATGCGTTAAATACATGGTAGCAAACCACATCCACATAACATGGAAAACACAATAAGGTCTTGCTTTAGGACATAACCAAGCTAGAAACAGCATTTCAATCGTAGCGCAGCCAGAGTGAAGAGATGGGAAAGCACCAAACACAAGAGGAGAATTACCAAATGTTGTACCGTACAAATCCAAGCCCAAAATCTCATCAATTCGAGCTAATCCACCAGGTTGGCCATGCACAGAGTAATCAGCAGGAGCTGAGCCGTAAGAAAGCTCATACCATGGCGGTGATGTTGGGAATACAAGTTGAGTCAATACACCAGCCAAATTCATGTAGCCAAATGCTTGACCGAATACCGCCAGTGTACCTGGAGGGCCAAAGATAAACAGGGCCAAGGAAAAGGCAAATGGAAAAGCGAAATGAATGATACCATAAGGCAACCAGGCAAAGATGTCCAATACAGGGCTTGTATGTTGGGAGATGATTTCTGACAAATTGGCGCCATAAATGATACGTTCAAGTGTCGGCAAGATGTTAACAAAGATGTGCTGAGGCTTGATTGTGCTGGGAATAAATTGCACGGCATAGAATGTGATGAGCCAAGTGAAGACGACCATGGCGGGTACGGTAAATCTTCTAATGTAAGGTATAAACGGCGATGACACTAATAAGCATAGTAATATGAGTCGAACCCAAAGTGGAGGGAATTGAATATACACCATATCGAAAATGACAAGTGCAGCAAAGAAAGGGTACTGAATCCAGCTCCATTGAAACGAATTGCCAACTGACAACAGACTGTTTATTGCTTTTTTAATCATTGCACATGTAAAGAGCAAGAGGAAGAAGAGATTTGTGTGAAATCAGAAAAAAAAATTCTTGCTAGTGCGTTTATATACTTATTAGCTACAGAATCTTCTTTTTTATTGAATTATAAATATTAATATAAAACCACCTGTCAAGAAACCAAAAAAAAGTGCATTCATTTGCTATGTTTGAGCAGGGTTTTCATTTTACCGAATCCATATCATTGGAAACATCCGTGGTTGACGAAAAAACTTGATATATCAGGCTTCTCACATGTTGACTTGATCTGCGTCTCAATTGAGCAATGTACATGTGTCAAACAAGCATCTTGTTTATACTGGCATTGCGTGAGTCCTTTGGGAAAGAGGGTCCATTGGATGCCCGTGCCGAGAAAAGAGTACAATATGCAGTGCGTTGGCAGATTACACAGACAGGGCTTTTTGATTTCTGTCAGTTTAGCCTTTACCCGGCTCTTACGCCGACAACATGGCAACTGATTTTACCGAGATTTTCTTGGGATGTGTGTGTGTGGGGGGGACCTGATGCCGTTTAAGCCTGCTTTATGGTTTTTTTTTTTTTATTGAAAAAATATACATGCAAAAATTCTAATATATATATATATGATAGATCAAGGAATATGGGTAGCGCCCTTTGCTTGACGCTTTTGTTGAAGAATCTTCTTTTGGCGATTCTCTTCAGTTTTGAATGCGGATTTGGTGGATTTCTTCTCTTCTCGACGATTCTATATAAAACACAGAATAAATTTCTATTTTCTACCTATCCCTTATCCAATGCAAATGGCTTTACCTTTTTTGCCTCTTTAATGGCTTGTTTTCGTGCTCTCTTTTCTTCTTTTGTCTCGGCCTTTGATCTGGGTTCACCCTTATTCTCTAAGGGTACCTGATCTTCTTCGTCATCCTCTTCTTCTCCCTCCTCTTCAGCGTCGCTCTCTACTTGTTGCTGCTTCTTCTTCTGTTTACGCTCCACCTCTACCAACACAGGCATGCCAGTCTTGGGATCAATGCGGATTCTTTTTGATGGTCCTTTGTCGTTGATAAGTGAGGGGTGGTTTTCGAGATTAGAATAGGTGGAAATGACACTTTGAACATCCCAGGTTTCCCTTTGTCTTTGCACAGGTCTCTCCAGCTTGGGCTCCAATGCAGATTGAGTCAGCTTTTGTCTTGTTGTGCGCTCCATCTCCTTCTTTTCCTCCTCAACGACACTGGGCTTGATCAGGCCTTGACGCATGCTGTCTAATTTGGCAGCAGAGGTCTCGCCTTCTAACTTGGGTTGCATCTTTTTGCCCACAATCTCATACTTTTCCAAGAATTCATCCAGAATGGCATCGAAATCAGCGCGCTCTTCGAGATCTTCTGCGTTGCTGTCGTATTCGCTTTCATCGTCGTCGTCTGCGTACTCTTCTTCGATTTTTTCGAATCGATCATCTAATAAGCGCAGTTGCGTGTTACGATGCATGGCTGAAGATGAGACTGAGAATCCAGTTTGCTTGGTTTGGCGGTCAAAATCGTCAGATCCATCATCAGAACCTGCTGTTCTGCGTTTTTGACTCAACTTGAATCTACGGTTAGAAGGTGAGTATATTTAATCTACACAAGGCGAAAATGAGGACCCATACTTGTTGAATGCTGCTTGCCAGTCGTAGTTCTCTTCATTGATCTCTTCCCCTTCCTCGCCTTCAACTTCATAGTCCTCGTATTCTTCCTCAGAGTCGTAATATTCTTCATCTTCGGCTGGATCATAAGGCTCACCATCAGCATTGAGCGCCTCGAAAAAGTCATCATCCAAATCATTTTCAACGTATTCTTCATCGGACAGAGCCTCAAGTACTTCACGCAATCGAGGATCCATGTCAGGCTGAAGGCCGCCATCAAGACCTGTGGATTGATTCATGACACCGACGCTCATTTCAATGTTGGAGGGCAGCACATTAGTGGGTAATTGAAACAAGTTGGGGTTCTTTTGATCTCTGTGCACATCATCATCCTTGAACATACTGTCGTTCAAGGTTTTTGGCTTTTCCTTCTTGGTGGGAGCCTCCAAAAAGACGGAATCAGTGCCGCCGATAGGCTTCAAGTGCTGAGTGTAATCGTACTCTCCATCGTCAAAAAAGATACCATATTGTGCTGCTTGGCCAATACGTCTAACAGAAAAGTTTAGATGTCGGTCTTATGAAGCCTCTAGCAGTGGTCCTTACTGATCAATCTCATCCTGGGTCAATTTTTGAGGTTTGGCTTTCACTCTTTCAATCTCTTCTTGAGATTTATGCTGCGAAAAAATAAAACGGGATCAATACTTGACACATTCACTCCTTATTTTACTGTCCTACCTTCATTTGATTAATAGGCAGCACTTCCTGAAGCACACGATCAGGAGCCTCAGAGTCATTGATCAAAGGATCCTTCTGAGAACGATGAACAACATGAAAATGCTTGGCTGATTTCTTGTCAATGAAAGGTTTTTTACCCATTTTGTGTGATAGATATGATGAAGAAAAAGAAGAAGAGGATTTCCAGTACTGCACAATAGCAGCCCTTCCCGCCCACAAGGAAAAAAAACCAGAGTGGCTTATGGATATACCTTGACAAGCTTGATTGGTTAGTAAATGAGATGGTATGGAACCCTTTATTTGATGAGCCGAACAAATTGAATAAATTACCTCTGTCCCCTTAACACAATCGCCCTTTTATTCCTTACCTTTCTATACTCTTCCTTTAAAGTTAATACAATGTCTGTTGCCTCTGCCACTGCCGCTCCCGTTCTTCCTGATCATGTCAAGAAGCCCAATGAAGAGGAATTCAAGAAGGCGTTGGCTGAAGTAAATGCTAATATCGAGAAGCTTCAAAAGCAATTTGTAAGTTTAAACATTGTCCTTGTTGCCATAGTATGAAACACAGTAACAAACTGTATGTACAGGATGCTGTCAGAGAAAAGATCAATAAGCTCCCTCAAAAGAACGACAATGCCCGTCGTGAAGAGATCAAGGCAGAGTTGAACGAGATTCGTGATAAGCAAGCTGCCCTCAAAAAGACCCGTAAAGCTGTTTACGAACAATTGGACGCTATCAATGATTCCATCAGAAATAAGGTACGTATTGACGAGAGAGGATATGTGCGTGTACAGTAAGAGACAAGTGATTGATCTATATCCTATTGTTAGGTTGGTTCTATCAAGGGCTTCCAAACCAAGATCCCCTTCAAGACCACTGAGGAAGTGGATGCTCGCATCGCGTATGTGCACTTGAGAAAAAATAAGGCACCAAAATAGCATATTAACACGCGTTACTCTAGTGAACTCGAGAGCAAGATTGAAGCTGGTGTCAGAATTGTCGAGGAAAAGAAGGTACTACCACAGATCTGAATGATTTGCTGATGGGAATATTGCGATATTAACCTTGTAACACATTGTAGATGTTGCAAGAGATCTCTTTGTTGAAGCGTAACCGTCTTTCAGTTGAGGATGTTGATGGTCAACAAGCAGCTATTAACAAGGAAAGAGAGATTTACGGCGAGCTCAAAAAGAACATTGATGATTCTGAGGCCAAGAAGCTGAGCGATCGTTACGAGGAACTTGATGCTGAGTTCAAGCTGCTTCATGCTGATCAGTCCAAGCAGCGTGAAGCTCGTAACCAACTCTACGACGAACGTAGCCGTCTCAAGGCACTGTTGGATGAGGAGTACCAAAAGATGCGTACCATGCGTGATGAACACCGCAAGAACAATGATGAATACTACACTTTTGTTCGTCAACTAAGAGAATACAAGCGTGAGCAAGAGCAGCTCCGTAAGGAACAAGAAGAAAACGAGAAGCGTCAAGAAGCTGCCAAACAAGAATTGGAATTGGCTGCTTTACCTGCTTTTGAGAGTGAAATCGCTCTTTGCGATAACCTCGCCATCTTTTTGGAAAGTTTTGTCTCATCTGGTGCAGACAAGAAATCGCAACAAGAACCCTCTGTCAATGCTGCTGCTGATGCCTTTGATGGTATGGTGATCAAGAAGCGTGATGAAGAAGATTTCTTTGTCGGTAAGAGCAAAAAGAAGCAACAACAAAAGCAAAAGGACCCCAAGGACAAAAAGTCAGATTCCCTCAAGTTACCCCTTGCTACCATGGAGGCTTTCTTTGATATCAAGGTCACTGTGCCTACCAAGATTTCTGAAATCCCTGCTACTCTTACTAAACTCAGGGAGCGCAAGGAATATTATATCGCTGAACAACCCAAGGCTACCGAGTTAAATAAAAAGAAGGCCGAGGAAAAGATCAAGGCCATGGAGAAGGAAGAGGAGGAACAAAAGAAGGCTGAAGCCGAAGCTGCTGCTGCTGCTACTGCCGAGAAGCAGGAAGCATCAACTGAGGAAAAGAAGGAAGAATAACTTCGAAAAAAAAAGACGACATTTAACATAAAAACACATCATTACACATTATACAACAACAGAAAAATCACGAAAATTAGATTAGATGATGCCACTATTTTGTTTTCGAATAATAGAATAAACAATGTCCATTTTTGATATGCACGAGAGATCAGATGTAGCTGATGAGGGGGGGGGGGGGGGATTTACAATCAAGTGTAGAACTAGGATGTTTGTGGAATAGAGTACTTGGTATCACTGATATCTTAACATGATGAAACGAAAAACATGATCTCTTGAACCTTTGATTTCCTTTTGATCCATTCTCAGTTGGATGATGCAAGACAATGTTGAATATTATACACTTTTTTATGTGGTTTTGTAATGGAATATTGATATTATCTTTGACTATACAATAAGAGGAGGACGATGAGCTACATCTACTCTTCAGTTTTTTGGGCTTTTGTGGGTGATTCAATGCCGGAAATGTCCTCCTCGTCTTCCTCTCTGTGTCGCTTTCTATTAGACAATTCAGGTTCAGTTGTGTCGTTCAAGTCATTTTCCACCTCGGCAGCAGTGTTGGCATCATCGGCAGCATCTTCTGTAGTTGTGAGTATGGCAGGGGTAGAAACGGTCTCCTCAATGGCTTCAGTGTCATCATGTTCAAGTGTAGCTTCTACATCAGCTGTCTCGGGTTCTTCAATTACTGGTGATGGCGGCTTTTCTATGCGGACTTGGACATCTACTGGTACTTGATCTTCAACGAGTTCTTCTGATACTGCTGATGCTGTTTGAGCTATCTGCTCGCTCTCGACATTAGTAGCGGCATCGACTTCCATAGACAGTTCAGCCTCCACAGCCTCCTCAGTTTCTTGGGTTGATTCAGTGGTTGTTGTTATTGTTGCTGTAATGGGTTGTGCTTCGGTAGCGTTGTCAGCAGGAATGATCTCTGGAGTAGAGGCCATAGGCTCCTCAACAACAGCTGGTTTAGCGGCCAACACAGGCGATTTAGAAGGTGATGGAGCAGGGCTGCCTGGAGCAGGGCTTTCAACAGCTGGAACAATTGGAGATGCAACGACTTCAGGTGTTACTTTTGTTGCGGCAACAGTTTCTGTGGTGGTAGGCAATTTAGCGGGAGGGGCAACAGGGCTGCTAACAGCAGGAGAGGAACTGGCAGGGACAGGGCCACCAGTGACAGAGGGACTACTGGGAGTAGTGATTCTGGGAGAAGACACTGGTGAAGCATTGTTACCCATCTGGAATGCAGGAGCAGCAGCAGATAATGTAGACGAAGGCTTTTGAGATTTGAGCAAGTCAATTTCCTTTTGAAGACGATTTGCTTTGCCTTGAGCCATGGAGAGTTGTGCCTTGTATCTTGTAGCTTCCACAGAGTGTTCATTGGATTGCTTGCGAAGATCAGCCAATTCTGCCTCCAAAGCAGCAATCTTAGCAGTTGAATCTGAGGAACTCTCTTTCGAAGCTTTCAGAGCGTCTAATTCAGCTTTGGTATTCTTTTGTTCGATTTGAACCTTGCGAGCCTTCATAAGCAATGCAGCATATTTTTTCTAAAGCAGGCATGTTAATATGTGTGGATACTCAGATCAAGCGTCTTTTTTGTTACCTCCAACGCAGTATATGCCTCAGTCTTCTGGGCGAGTTCTGCTTCCTTTTCCTTGACATCTCCAGACTGCTTATTGTTATCTTGGAGCTTTGCAGTGAGATCCTTGACTTGCGTTTCAAGGGCTTCCTTTTCACGAGTGGATTTTGCAGTGAGATCCTTGATTTGAGTCTCTAGGGTTTCCTTCTCTTGAGTCAGCTTTGTAACCTCAGCCTTCTAAGAAAGATAAAAAAATTAATGTCAACATGATCACCATGGTCAAAAGAAACCCAAACTTACTGAAGCAGTGTCATTGTTAGCTTCTGTACTCTTTGTTGCATCTGCTAACTGTTGGGTTGTAGCTTGCAGCTTCTTTCTGAGTTCAAAGGCCATGCGTCCTCTTTCGTTGGCCTTTTGCACCAGAGATGCCCTATCACTTTCATTGGACTTGATCTTTGCCTGAAGTTCTTCGACAGTAGACTCAACGCTGGATTTCTCAGTCTTGAGAGTTTCTAGTTCTGATCTAGTGGTTTCTAATTCTTTCTTGGTTGTTTCTAACTCTGCTTTGACACTCTCAATTTCAGCAGGATCGACTCTCTACAAAGATGTGTTAAAGACAAAGTAGTTAATAATTAGCACAATAGTTTACTTACATTGTACTTGGAAAGCAGCTTGGCAGAACGAGCAGTCCATTCCTTTTGGCTCTTTTCAAGAACCTCGACTTCAGATTTGGCTTGAGTGAGCTCTGCTTCCAATGAGCTGACCTTGACTATGGGAAATAATTGGTAAATACAAGTAGCAATGCGATCTGGTGATACTCACGTTCCAAGGGCGAGATTTGTGCTTCCATACTGGCTTGCTCCATCAGGGCCTTTTGCTTTGCCTCTCTCAACTGGGAGTTCTCCATCATCAGTAATTGATTCTGGCTCTTGAATGCCTCGTATTGCATCTTATCCTCCAATGCGCCAGTGGAAGACTTGTTTAACAAGTTCTTGTTCTCTTCACGGAGTCTGGCAATGTCAGCACGCAATGTAGCTACCTGGGTCTTGATAGCTTCCATTTCGCTTTCTACTCTTCTGCGCTTGCTGCGTTCAGTTTGATAATTCAGTTCGCTGGCGTCCTTTTCAATGCGAAGGGTGGTGTTGGTTTCACGCAGTTGCTTGACGATATCTTCTGTCGTGGCTACAAAACCAGCACGCTCAGGTCCATCCTGTTTGTCATTAGCAGCAGCCCATTCAGCGTACTTGGCGACCAAGTCAGACACGGATTGAGACAATTGCTCTTGTTGCTTGTTGAGTTCAGCCAACTTGTTCTTCCAGCTTTCCTCTGCAGTGTTTCTTTCGTTGGTTTCGTGCTCCAAGTCAGATCTAAGCTTGGCTTCGGTGGCGGCAGCAGCAGCGATGGTTGCCTTGTATTGTGAGATTTCGAAAGTGAGATTGGAGACATCAGCGCATAAATCACTGTTGGCTTGACGTTGCTCCTCGGCAAGCTTACTCTCAGATTCCAATTTAGCCTCTACGTCTGCCAAGGCGTTGGTCTTGACCTCCAGTGCTTGTTTCAATGTAGTGATTTCCTCTTGCATGGATGTCGTGGATGCTTCTAATTGCTTGATTTTTTCGTCTAACTTGGCCTTTTCATCAGCCAGTTCAGCTTGTGATGCGACTGATTGTTGCTTCAGAGCGTTGTATTCGGCAATTGACTTTTCAGCTTCTTCTTGAGCAGCACGCACAGCTTCGTTTCGTTCTTCAATGTCCTTTAAGAGCTTGTCAATAGACGCTTGTGTCTTTGTGACCAGAATATCATGTTCAGCAGTGCTAGCAGAAATAAGCTTCTCTTTCTCGGCAATGATGGTTTGATAGGCGTTGTTATCGTTCTCCAAGATGCGGACACGATCCTCAGCCTCGGCCAAAAGACGCACATGCTCATCACAGGAAGAGCTAAGAGTTGCAGTGGATGATGCGTTTTCAGCGCTGGAAAGAGCCTTTTTGAGTTGCTCCTCTGTAGTGGCCAATTTGGTTTGTGCAATGATACGTTCTTGGTTGGCATCAGACAGCTTTTGCTCAATCTCGGTGATTTGCTTCTTGAGGAAACGAACCTCAGCCACGGATTCCTTGTACTTGTCTTGAAGTTCAGATTGGTCGATGGACTTGTAGTAATCCAACTGCTTTTCAGTAGTAGCAAGCGTATCACGAGCATGCTGCAATTCACGGGTCAGTTTCTCCACGGTTTCCAAAGACTGTTCAGCAGAGTTCTTGTCCACAGCAGTGATATGGTCAAATCGAGTCTTGAGTGCTTCCAAGAGAGAGGCCATTTGATTCTTGTCAGAGCTCTCCTTGTCTCGCATTTCCCTGAATTCCTTGTAAGAGGTGTGCATGGCTTCATAGCGAGTTTGCAGGACCATGTTTTCTTCACGCAGCAGTTGGAGTCTGCTCTTGTAGTCGGCTATTTCCTTCTTGATGCTGGATAGTTCTTGATCGCTTTGAAGAATACGTTCATTCAGCATGGCATTGTCACGGACAAGCGAGTTGCTTTGGCTTTCAATGCGTTGAGAATGGCTGTTTAGCTTTTCGAGTTTAACCAACAGATTGCGCTTCTCAACCTCCATACTGGTCAATTGGCTCTGGACACGCTTTTCAGATGCACGGCTGTTGATAAGTTCCTCCTTGAGCTTGTTCATCTCCTCCATGGTCTCCTTGCGATAAGACTGCAGTGTGATATCCATCTCTTGACGCTGGCGTTCTTGGGTATCCTGCATTTGCTCAAACTTGACTTTGGCGTCACCATCTCCCAATTCATTGACAATCTTCTTGTAGTTTTCGCATTCGATGGTAGTGGTATCAATCTTGGATTGCAGCTGTGTCACCTTGCTAGAGAGATCAGATGTCGCTTGCTTGGCCTCTTCAAGTGCTTGCTTATACAGGCTGATATCACTGGTGTGAGCAATGGTGGAAGAGCCAATCTTATTTTGAGCTTCTTTGAGTTGTTCACGCAATGTTCTGACTTGCACAGAGAGCTCCTTGTTGAGGTCTTGCAGTTGTGCCACATTATCATAGACGAGTTCTTGGTGTGATAGAACAGGCTTGATGTTGGCATCACGCAGCAGACTGGCGCTTTCTTTCAAACCGGCAGGAATGGGCTCACTACGTTTTTGAATGACGGACAAGATGTGTTGTAATTGGTAGGTGGTATCATTCAGTGATGCTGTTAAATTGGTATTGTCTCGTTGTAAAGCACTGTAGTCGCTCTGTAACTTTGTGTTGGCATCTGTGAGCTGTTGATAAGCCTTCTTTTGATCCTTGAGCGAGGTTTCCAGCGTTGTGTTCTTGTTACCAGTCAGCTTCAATTCTCTGTAGAGTCTGTCAAACTCAATTTCTTTTTCTCGTTGTTTACGACTGAGTTGCTCAATCAGGCCGTTGAGGTTGGCATTACTCTTGACAGCAATGCTATACTTGTCTTTGAGCTCGAAGAAGTCTTCAAAAATATCTTCGGGTCGCCTCTTGAGGTTCTGGTAATCTTGGATCAATCGAAGCAAATTGCTGGTGGGTCTGCCTTCACCTGATGCTGTTTCTGTTGTGACACCTGTCATTTGGTTGAAATTCACTTTACGAAGCTCTCTCTCTTGGGCCAATTGATCTTCCAAATCCTTGTTCTGCTTTGCCAGTTCTTCTTTTTCTTTAGTGATGTGATCAATCTTGGCCTCATATGAGCTAAACTTGGAACGTGTGTTGCTAGTGTGTGCGTCGTAAAGCGCTTGCAGATCTTTGAATGCTTTTTGAGTACTGCCCAAAGTGAGTTCCATTTGATCCTTGGATCTCGTCAGTTCGCCCAGGCTGTTTTCAGCTTCAATCACACGGATCCTTGCGTGTTCCAACTCCTTTTCGAGCTGATCCACTTTGTTTTGGAGCTGCTTCGTTTCTGATTGAAAGTTGCTGATCTTTTCCAATAACTTGGTACGCTCTGAGTTCTGTATGGCAAGTGGATCATCAGATTAGTAAAGGCAGCGAGTGCAGCAGTAGGCATGTACATACACTGTCCTCTCTCAAATTGTCGTAGAGTTCTTGAAGATGGTTGATTTGGCTGTTGAGTGATTTAATCTTGCTGTTAGAATCTTCCAGCTCATGGTTGAGGCTTTGTTCCTTATTCTAGAATCGATGTTGGTTTTGCGTCAAGATGGCAAACTCATTCTCTTAGGACTTACTGTAAGTGAGCGCACAAGATTAGACAATTTTTCAACCTCAAAGGACTTTTGCATATTTGTTTGGCGTTCCTTGTTCAATTTTTGCTGTGTATCATTCAGGGATTCTGTTGATATAGTATATAAGATGACATGCTCATAGATTAGCCAAGCACACGGGATACAAACCTCTTTGTTGAGCCAACGTCTGCAAGTTGTATTGCTCGCGTTCTCTGAGACGGCGTTCGCTTTGACAGAGATCTTCGAATTTCTCCACTGCTTCTGTTCTGCTTCGCTCAGCGTCTGCTTTGGCTTCTGCTAACTTTTGCTTTTCAGCTCTTTCTTTCTCCAGTTCATTCTCTATAGAACAGATAGATGAATACATGCTTTTTCATCAGTTCCAGAGGCACTCACGTAAACTTAGTTTGGTTTCAGAAAGGCTCTTCACAGTAGCTTCGAGTTCGACATTTTGTTTCTCTACATCGATTGCACCCAAAGCTGTATGATGTTCAACACGACCTATTAGATACATTGCATCTATTCATATTAATTTACTGTGTTTACCTCCTCGTAAAAGCTCAGAATCTTCTTCCTTGCTAGCCATTTTACAATTGATGTTAGAGTAACAGGAAAGAAAAAGAAAAAAATCAATTCGACGTGCAACTGAGAAATCACTCCGCCCTTGTGACGACACTGTATAGACATCTTTGGCACCTTTAATGCAAAACAACAGACAACCAACGCATTATGCGGCACACCCTCATCAAGCACTGTGTCTGTATGCTATCTGTATATTCTTCATATCAATCTACAATTCTTGAGGCTTCTTTAAGCCAAAAAATGATTTTTATGACTTTGGATTCAACCAACATTTAGTGCACATCTTCTTTCACATCTGTCGGCACAGCGTACATGACATCTCATCACAAACCCCAGTCAATGCTTTTCAAGGAATTTGGTTGTAAAGCTAGTTTGAGCACATTGTGTTGCCAGGAATGTAAGTTGATGAATACTAGTAATGCCTCATCATGACGTCCAATGATAATCTATCAAATCTCAACATCCAAGAGTTTTCCATGATACAACATCTCAATTGAATGTAGATCAGTTTCAATTGCGTGGAAGCTTATTCATTTCAGTGATTCCATTTAAACTTGTTGCTCTTAATAGAACTGATCCCTTCTCTGATATGCATTGATGGCCATCTAGGATTTGCCCGCAGCCAAATGCTATAGCCACATACACCACACTTCCATCAACTTCCATTTGAGTCCCAAGAAATTTTTGGTGACTATTGAAATTAACTAGATCTTCAGATCCAGCAAGATCCAAATCTCTATAAAAGCACCCATCTTTCGAGCAACTCAATGCTTTTTTCTTTAGCTTGCATTTTTCTGAAAAATAACGTTACCAATATAGGGCGTAGGAAAAGATTCGTTTTGTGTGCAAAAGTACTTTGTTAAGTATTAGTAGCTGCTGGGAGAATCTTTTCTCAATAATCTGCGTATATCCTAAGGTGACTCAAGCTTGAAAAAGTGATTGTTTGAACTATGGGCTAGAGTTACTGGATCCTTGAGCAATTGCTTCGGCATGCGCTCGGTGATGGTGCTTTAGCTCTCAAACTTTCTGGATGATATATTCCTACGCCTAAGGTAGACACTATGTGTCCATTACCTGAGGCAAAACCATATCACCGCCATTTTTTTTTTTTTTTACATCTAAAATTTAAATGAAAATTTTTTTTATACATGGGTGGCTTTTGTTAGTTGTATCACTTCAATTTCATGTTTGGTCTGAATAAATGTGACAAATTCATTGACTGGCATGTTGTTTTTGGCCATAAAAACCATTGTTCTAATTCCATGCATATAAATCCATCACCAAAAGTGCCTCTCACTTGATAAATGTCACCAAAATTTGTGAAATTTGTCATTTAAATGTTTAATTTCTCGAGCTGGTAGGCATTTCACTGCGCTCTAATGTACACCAAATGATTGCTAGGAGCCAGTAAACTCATGCTGGACCATTCGCTCAAAAAAAAACGTGTTGATGATTTTTCATCCATTTTGCCCTTGCATCTATACATCCAAATTCTCAAATTCCACAAATGTCGAAATTTCTCGGTCAAGATGCACAATTTACTATGATGTTTGTTAGCAAACTTTAGGTGAAATAGAACCCTCTTTCACATAGCCATCTTAGATTTCCGTGTTTGGATGGAAATTTTTGACATATCCTGTCAAAGTGAAAAAAGCACTTTTTAAGGCGTAGAGAAGTGTTTTCAGTATAAAAAAATTAATTAAAAAATTCCAGTTGATAGAGCATCTAATTTTGCATAGAATTGATAAAATCCACTTTGATACTTTCTTATTACCTTGATGGTGAAAAAATTCTTAAAAGGTCTAGAAAAAATCGAAAATGCCAAATGAAGCTCAAATCCTGGCCACTGGCAAAGCTACAATTCACACTCCGGTACTGCTCATCATCAGGCTGGTGTTTTCGAACATTTAGTTGATTCATGGTCATGCAAGGCATGGCAATCCTTGCTATTAAGCTGCTTTGACTCATTCCAGTACACAAGAGGTAGTTAATATAAGGGATTGACATCTTGGCTATAAAGCTGCTAAATTGATGAAAATATATTGGTGATTGCACTAACGATTCTGATATGGACGAATATACCAACATATCGCAAATTAAAGCTCTGTACATCATAGATATAGTTCTCTATAATGCTTTTGAACAGTATTTTTTGCTACCTACTTGATGGCAAAAAAGAAGGGCCTATTTATGAGAGACATTCGACAACCCACACCATGCTTTTTTTTTGCATGAATTTGGTCTCCAGGAAGCAATATCCGATTTGATTGCTATGTCTATGCTACGTTTGTATATGTAGATTTGGCCAAAAACGCGAGTTTTCCCGAACAAACAGACAATAGAGCAGCCTGCATATTCAAATATAACGCTATTTGCGTCATCCAATGTTACTCTTTGCAGAGATGCCATATCAACCATCGAGTACGTTGGCCCTGAAAAGCATGATATAGATTTATATGACATACCTTTTTTATAGAAGAGGCAGAGTTTAATGTATCAATATACAAGAGATTTGCATAGCCAGGCATTAGGAATATACTCCTTGCGCTTCTCATTTGGGTGGTGATGGCCAACATGTCAAGCTATTTTTGTTTGCTTTGTTATCAGGTTTGCAGCGCTGAAAAATAGTATGTCAAAGAAGCTTATATTGGCTTGCTATATATTGATTGCCCTTAGAAGAACATCAAGGTGTATATCAAAAACTAGTCAATCTATCTCGCTACGCTTAATGCCGGTGTCGCCCTACGGGCTCTCGCCAAAGATATTTTAAATCAGATATAATAAAATTTTGGTATATCAAGTAGATTTTAAACAATGTTTTATTAATAAAAAAAAAAAGAAAGGTTATATCAGAGCCACCAGGAGGAGGAGAGGAGGTATATCCCCCCAGCACCCTGTTTATTTACACTGATATCAAACGGTGCTAGTTGTAACAGATGTTTTGAATGAAATTAACGAGTAATCCAGTAAAATATGAAATGAGGTTTTTAGCGTAAATAGCCATACTTTGCATATGAAAACCTCATAAAAGTGGTTTCATAGGTTGCTTTGGATCGACAGAAACATTTTGATTCAATATATACCATAGTAAAACGCTTCGTTTTCAAGGTGAGAAATGCGATCGTTTAAATTTTGGTGAACACCATTAGGTACTCCTCATGCTTTTTGGTCAATTTTTGGCCATGTTTTTTTTTGGCTCAAAAAGTTGAGCAAAGGTGTCAGGAAGGTATTACTACTCAAGTAAAATTGTTTGGCGTTATTCCGGTGGCTCAGAAAGTCCTACATGTCAAGATACGAAGGCTTGAAAGCTGTCAAATTTGGTTATGTACTGCTTTACAGAGTGTATTTACACGGCATAAATCGCTTTTTTTGGTAGCTATAATTTACTGGAATGGAAGTTCTGTAGCTTGAGAAACTTTTAATTCGAATAGAAGGAGCATTGGTTTTGGTAAAGCTGATTCATGCAAATTTCGACGCGCTATGTTGCTGGTAAGCTTATTAACAATGGAAACAAAAACCCGAATTTGGTGCTTAGATACTATAGTTTTGCATATTCGCTTCGCTACAATCAAGCCCTCATATAGATCAATACTATCAAATGCTGGATTGGATGCTTAGTTGTCACAGGTTTGCACCTTTGCTTCGCTACGGTAAAATCCCCCTATAAATCAATGCTATCAAGCGATGAATTAGACGCGTTATGTTCTTCCTCCAAATCCCCTCCCCATTGCCGGCTTTGCCAGTGATTTTATTCATCTTTTACAGCACACAATTCTTTAAAATTTTAAAAGGGTATGATTTGTTTGTCTATTTTTTTTTTGAATGTTTTACAGCATATATAGTGAAGATGACGCTAAGCATGGCGTGCTCATTTTATACGGCATTGTTGTCAATCTGTACACCTCATGCATCTTTGTGGAAGTAGTAATATTCAACATCCGTGTGTTTTAGTTCCACGAAACAAGTTGAAATGAAAAAAAAAAAAAAAAAAAAAAAAAAAGTGCACAAGAAAAATTTTTTTACTCTCTCTTTCTATCCTAGTTGTCACTACGAGAAAAAACTACGCAAACATGGAGGTAATCTCTTTCAAATAGACATTAAAACACTCGATTCACAGGGAAATTTTGTATAGCAATATCTTGCAGGTCTTGACGACCTTTTAACTAAGTTGGCACAAGCTCAAGATTCTGAAACTATCAGAAATGTAAGCAGGACACTTGGAAGCAAAATCAACAGGACACTCATCCAATTTTTTGTTAGGCCACCTCTGTCCTGAACACACAATATTATGCCACTGCTGATTGTATTCCTGCTCTTGTAGAGATCATTTCCAGATCTCCTCACTATCAAGTTCGACAATTAGCTGCTGTTGAGTTGCGTAAAAGAATTTCCAAGTGGTGGTCTCAGGTACCTGAAGCCAATAAGGTCACTTTGCGTGATCAATTGTTGAATATTGCTTTGAATGAAACCAAGTAAGTATTTATTGCAACGGGTGATGTTGCAGTCGGTTTGGTAGAAGGACAGAGACTGACATGCGGGTTTAGTGAACCTGTCCGTCATTCCATTGCACGAGTCATTTCCTCTGTTGCTAGCGTTGACATGCCTGATGACAAATGGCCTACCTTGTTGAAGTTTCTGCATGAATCTTGTGCCAGTGCAAACGCATCTCATCGTGAAATTGGTATCTACTGCTTGTATACCTTGTTTGAAGCCATCGCCGATCTGTTCATGAACAACACTGTCTCCTTGTTTGAGCTCTTTAACAAATTGATTGTGGATCCCGAGAGCAAATCCGTTAGAATCACTACTGTGTTGGTGCTTGGTAAACTTTCTGAATTTGTAGATAGCGAGGATAAGCCTACTATTGTAAGTGTGTGTGTGCGTTGTGTGTATGAGCGAGTCACTGACGTGCATCATGATAGAAAATGTTCAGAGCCATTATTCCCAACATGGTCAATGTACTGGAACAATGTATCAAGGACGATGATGAGGAGAACTCTGCCAAGATTTTTGAAGTTTTTGATACCTTGTTGATGTTGGTAAAGTGTAGGATGTGAAAAAGGCAAAACCCAAGTGCTGATGTAAGCTGTATATTAGGATGCGCCCTTGTTGAACGATCATTTGGCCAACTTGATTGACTTTTTCTTGACCATTGGTGCCAATACCGAGTTGGATGAATCTCTTCGTGTGTTTGCCTTGTCATTCTTAATGTGGGCTGCTGTTTAGTAAGTGTTTTTGTTTGCTGCCAAAGTACTGTGTTTAGTAACAACCATTTCAGCAAGCAAAACAAGATTAGACATTTGAAGTTGGTTGGACACATTGTAGAGAGATTAATGCCTATCGGTACCGAGGAGGATCCTGAGGATGTTGATGAGGACTCTGCTTCTCGCTTAGCCTACAAGGTGTTGAATGCTTTGGCCACCAATATTCCCCCTCAGCAAGTATTCCCTCTTGTGATGCCATTCGTCTTGAACTATATCCAAAACCCCAACCCCAGTTACCGTAAAGCTTCAATGATGGCTTTTGCTGTCACCGTGGAAGGCTGTACAGATATCATTGCCAACAAATTGAATGAACTCTTGCCCATTGTGTGTACTGGTCTTCAAGATCCCGAGATTGTCGTTCGTCGTGCTGCTTGTATGGCGCTTGGTTGTCTTGCTGAAGAAATGCCTGTAGATATTTCTGAACACCATCAAGTCTTGCTGCCCCTCGTCTTCAACTTGATGAATGACAATAACCCTGAAGTGACCAAGCACGCTTGTAATGCCCTTGATGCTATCCTGGAAGGCCTTGGTTCTGATATTGTGCAATATTTGCAATTGCTGATGGAGAAGCTCTTGTTCCTCTTGGACAATGCCACTGAAACAGAGACTCGTGCTACTGTTATTGCTGCCATTGGTAGTGCTGCTCATGCTGCTGGTGATGCTTTCCATCCTTACTTTGGTCAAGTCATGCCTCGCATCATTCAATTCATGTCTCTCAAGGAGTCTACTGACGATCAATTGCTGCGTGGTGTTGCCACTGACACTGCTGGCTCTATTGCTGAGGCAGCTGGTGCTGACTTGTTCAGACCTTACGTGCAAGGATTGATGACTCTGGCCATTGAGCAACTCAAATTGGACTCTCCTCGTTTGCGCGAATGCTCGTTTGCCTTGTTCTCCAACTTTGCTCGTGTTTTTGGTGAAGAGTTTGCCACCTTTTTGCCCACCATCGTTCCTGAAATCTTAACCTCCTGCAAGGTTGAAGAAAAGAACGAGACTGTATTGGATGAGGAGGTCGATTTGACCACTGGCGGTATGGATGACGACTTGGATGAGGATTTCGAAAACTTCAACTTCAACTCTGCTATTGCTGACGAAAAGGAGTTTGCTGTGGACGCTTTAGGGGAGCTCTTTGCTAACACTAAATCACACTTTTTGCCTTATGTCGATGCCTCTCTGTTGGAATTGCAAAAGTTGACCAGCCATTTGTACGATGGTGTTCGCAAGTCTGCTACTCAAAGCTTGTTCACCTTCCTCAAGACCTTTTATGTCATGTCGAACCCTGCTCCTTGGACTGTCGGTGTGCCTGCTACCTACGCCATCCACGAGAATGTCCAAAACTTGATCAACACTATCATCCCTATGACACTGGAATTGTGGAAAGAGGAAGATGATCGCTCTGTGGTAGCTCAAACATGTCAAGAGTTTGTCACTGCTCTTCGTTTAATGGGCCCTGTTCTCATTGCTGATGGCTTGGAAGATATCTCTGAAAACCTCTTGGAAATCTTCCAAAAGAAATCCATCTGCCAACAAGCCTTTGATGATGGTGATTATGACGAGGAAGATGACGACTTGGAGTCTGAATCCCTCCTGATTACATCTGCTGGTGATCTTGTCGCTGTTTTGTGCGAAACAGTGGGTCCCAACTATGCCAATTACTTTGCTGTCTACATGCCCCTCATCAGCAAATACTACAAGCCCACAAAGACACAATCTGAGAGAGCCATGGCTGTCGGTTGCTTGGGTGAATGTATCGGCGGCCTCAAATCAGCCATTACACCCTACACTGAACGCTTAATGCAAATCTTTGTTAAGGCGTGTAGTGATGAAGATGAGCTTGTTCGCAGCAATGCTGCCTTTGCCCTGGGCTGCTTGGCCTTCCACACTGAAGTTGACCTAAGCAGCCACTACCCTGAGCTCTTGACGGCTCTCTCGCCCCTCTTTAGTAACCAAACTCTGCCCAACACGATTGACAATGCTGCTGGTGCTGTAGCTCGTTTGATCTTGGCCCGTCCCAATGCTGTTCCCTTGGACCAAGTGTTGCCCACATTTACTAATGCCTTGCCATTGAAAGCAGACTTTGAGGAGAACCAGCCCGTGTTTGACTGTATCTTCCAGCTATTCAATGCTAACAATGCATTTGTTCTCGGTAACTTGCCTCAATTCCTCCACATCTTTACCCAAGTTCTTTCTGAGAGTGATCAATTGAAAGAAGCCACTCGTGCTCATTTGATTGAACTCATTCGTCATTTAAACACTCAATCTCCTGAACTTAATATCAGTTCCAGTGAATTGGCTCGTTTCTTGTAAAGCAACTACCCTTCTAATCATTCCAAACTTTAATCTACAATATGTCATTTTATCACTGTAACAATAATAAACACTTATAAAGAGAAATCCAATGTATACAAATTTAAAATGGACAACGCCATTAAATGACAGGTTTGACTAGAGTAATGTATTATCGCACATGTGCTAGTCGCTGTGATTGCATGTATACATTGTATGTGTTAATGAGCTCACAACAATTTAAATATTTTGGATCTAGCGTGAATTTCCTTTAAACTTATGCAACAAATAATGATTTCGCAGGTATTGAACATCATGTCTTCGCTTAAGTTTGAGTATATACGAAAAAAAGATTTCTTTGAGTTGATCCTGCCGCTTATAATAGTTAATGCTTGACATATGAGTAAAAAGCAATGGCTAAATTCTTTTTTTGCAATTTATCTATAGATGATATGCTCAATGTATGTGTTCCACTCTTTACATATGAGATGACACCGTTGCTCCCTATAGCAATAGTTTACTCAGACGACATAATATACATGATACCAGCAAGGTCCAACATTAGAGCACTGATGGTTTGAGTGCACTTCAGCTCTTTTTGATCAAGGGAATATTTTGGGCCTAAACTAGAGTGCTTCTTAACATAACACAATTTCCATTCTGATATCAATTTTTCAGAAACTTTCTACTAAGGTACATATCAGATGAAAGTGTATAAAAAAACCCGTCTCTATCGGATGGAAACGTTTATTTAGAGCAAGCAAGGCAACTTTCTTAAGTTTTTCTTAAAAAACTAAAAATGCAGTTTATTGATAATATCTATACAATTTTCTGCAACATTGCGAAAAGAAAAAAATACCATCAAATACAGCACATTTAAATGTATGTATTTCGTTAGAACACCTGTGAACGTTTAGTATCCTCATTGGGATGTAAACATCCTTTACAGGTCATAAAATTTCCACGAATGTTATTTTAGAACAAAATCGGTCCAATTTGGCATTCTTATTTCAATCTTCGACTTTGCACAAAGTTCGCTCGTTTTGTAAATGTTTCTGCGAATTAAGCGAAATTGAGGATGAAGCTGTATATTTTACATAGCACGTAGCATATTCAAATACTAATATGTAGCTATTTTAAAAAAATTGCACTTCTAGCAAACTTAGATGAGAAAGCACAGTGGTTTTCCGAATGTATTGATGACATCGGTCAGGTAGTCGATGCCTACAGTTTGATATTGACATGAACAAAAATAATTTTGTGCCTCCACAGCAAATGCATGGATAAGTTTAGCTTTAGGGAGGCTTATATCTTACATTCAGGCTTGAAAGATTCAATCGAAACGTCTTCAAATCATACAGTATCTAAAAAATTAAGAGACAATAGTTGCTTATTTTCCATTATATCCTTCATGGGATTACTCGATTCTGCTAACCTAAACTTGATAACTATTAATACGATTTTTGCTCTCATACTCAATGGTTTTTATCGTTTGATAGCAAATAAGGTAAGGATATTACGGCGATATAGCTGCTCTTATATGTCGATATTGTGGCTTTTCTATTATCAGAACTAGTGTCTATGCTTTGGATGTCTCTCCACCTTGGCTTCGCTTCGTTGAGAACCAACCTGTACAGCAGCAGCTCGGGTTACCGATTGCCCTTGCGTATCTTATTAAAATACTGCTACTTTCATTTTGACCTTCTACTTGCACATGAAAGCCCTTCATATTATCTACGGATCCGATTCTTATGTGATGCTCTACATCCATATACACGTAGCTACTTCATATACGGCAAGCAGCATACTGATATTTCCCCTTTTTAGCTCTTAGTGTCCCTGATACAGCAAAATGTGAGTGCATTTAAGCTGCGTTTTCTCGCGTTCAGGGCCATTTTAGATTGTCAGAATAGCGCCAAACAATTGCTCTTATCTGGCACTAACTTCCTGACATCTTTGTTCAACTTTTTGGGGATCAAAAAAACATGGCCAAAAATCGACCAAAAAGGATGAGGTACCCCTCATGGTTTCCTCAAAAATCAAACGATAGCGTTTTTTACCTTGAAAATGAACACTTTTACTATGATATATCTTGAATGAAAATGTTTCTATCAATCTAACACAACACCTGAAATTATCTTTTTGCGACTTTGATATGTAAAATCTCGACATTTTGGCCAGAAGCCTCTTTCATATTTTCGTAAATTATTTAATGCATTTATTCAAAACATCTATTTTACTTGGTACCATTGTATGCACCTTGAAAAGCACTCTAAGAAAGCTTAAAGAAGAATTTTTTTTTTTGTAGGGGAGTTGTACTCCATTTTTTATTTAAAGTCCTCTAAATGTCATGATGAGGGAAGAAGAAGACTGGATATATTTTTAAAGGCAAGGAAATGAAAAGGGAAGCAAGGAAGTGGAATACGACCATAAAATACGTGGGGGTACATACTTACAAATCAAACTGTAATTCCGATTCCAAGCGAGACAGAGAACGGGCAATAGATGTGTTAACGTTGAGAGTGACAAAAGGGACATGGTCGAAGATGGAGCGCCAGTGGGCTTGCCATATACAGAGTAGACTGGTAGCGAAAACTTGGTAAACGGTAAGCTCTGGAAAAGGTAAGGAGGCAGAGCGAGTGGGTTCAGCTATGGATAGAGTTTGAATGCCGTGGAGGAATGGGAGAAGGACGTCGTCGGTCATCGGTGTGTGGGATAGGTATGTAGTGGCGAGGAACCGCCATACAGCGAGTTTGAGAGGACAAGTAAAGAAGAAATGTTGGATATCCTCCGGGCTCTGGGTCAAACAGAGAGGACACGAAGGTGAAGGGTGAGTTGTGGGGATGAAGTGGTGGAGGATCGATTTGGAGGGAATTTTTCGATGGATAAGTCTATACCATACAGTTCGTGATTGAAGGAGAATAGGTAGTTTCCAAAAGAGGCGCCATTGGGAGGGGGAAAGAGGTGAAGTGTTGATGGTGGGCATGTCAGTGGAAACCAAGTGTTTGTAGTATTGAATACTGTTGAGTGGCACTGTTGAAGGTAGTGGTATTATAGGTTTGATTAGACGGCGAATGAGTGGGCGGATGTTGTGGGGGTTGGCACCAAAGGAGGCACTGGTAAATGAATGGCGAGGGGCCTGACGGCAGAGAGCGAGAAAGAATGGTTGGAGGTAGATTTGGCCTTCCTCAATCCAACGGGCAACTCGATGAGATATTCTTGGATAATGGCAAAACTCAAGGAAGGTCCAGTTTCTAAGACGGATCACTTGTAAGTCGAAGTCAAAGGTAAACACATCTATTGCGAGCAGTTTCTGGACGGCGTGATGTCGGTCAAACAGTTGATCTGGAGCTGTGAAAGAAGAGAAATGGGGGTGAGTAGAAGGGAGGGTATGTAAGATAATTTCAAGGAAAGGTAATGATAAACCTGTATGAAAATCTAAGTGACAGGTTGTGAAGGAACGAGGTATTCGATCCATGGTGGTAATGACATTGGTGAGTATGTTAAGGAAAGCTTGGTGTGGACTGGGTCGATGTTGGAACCAGATGGTTTGTCGAGCAGCAGGAAAGAGTAAGTAGTAAAAGTAATCAGAGAAAGCGGTAGAGTGGAAATACCATTGCAGGGAGTACTGGAGGAGTGGAATGCTTGGGGTGGTGTATGTCGGTAATAGTGGTGAATGACAGGCGGCTAAAATGAGGGGGCAAATCCAGCGCCATTGGAGAGCTTGTTGTTGGACAATGGGATCTAAAACTTGGAGGCCGCCATGATGGCGAGGCTGTTGAAGGGTTCTAAAGGAAAGTTTGGGGAAGATACGAAAGTTAATGAAGGAGGACCCAAGGCTGCGTAAGGAGAGTAATTGAGCTTTGGTGAAAATAAAGTTGCGCATGACATGCCAGAGTTTCGAGAAAATGAGTGTGTTGAGAACGGTAGCTCTTCCACGAATGGAGAGGTTCCGTTGGGAGTGAATATGGATGCATTGTTGGATATTGTTGTAGAGTTGCTGGAAAGCGAGGTTGCGTTGGGATAAACTGGAGCATATGGGATAGCCAAGATATGTTACTGGATCAGGAGAGGTGCGGTCATGCATTTGGTGGATTTGGTGAGTAGCAAGAAACTCGCGCCAATCTGGTTGTGGTTGTCCAGAGAGCGAAATGGCTATAGTTTTTCTGTAATTTAGTAGTGCATTCGATGCTTTCATGTATGCATTGATAGAGTCCTGCAGAAGAAGAAAATCCGAAAAGTTCTTCAAATAGACTAATGTGTCATCTGCATAGGCTAGAATTTTGTACTTAATTGGATTGCGATGGGTGGGAGAGACTGAAGGAGTGTTGCGAGGGGAGTCTGGCGGAGGGGATGAGTTGGTGAGGCTTTCGGTTAGATCGTCCACGTCGGCAGTAGGTGATGGATGTGGTGGGGCTTCTTGTTGTACATGGAAACCCTCAAAGGTAGGGTTCTGTTGAATGGAGCGGAGGAAAGGGTCAAAAGCAATGTTGAAAAGGAGGGGACTGAGTGGATCACCTTGGCGAAGGCCTCTTTCTTGAGGGAGTGGTGCCTTGGTGATGTGGCCATTAATGTTGATCTGAATGTTAGTGGAGAAGAAAAGTGAGATGATACAGTGTGTTAAAGATTGTGGAATACCAAATTGGAGCATAATGTGTTGAAGATATTCGGGATGAATACGATCATATGCTTTTTCTTGATCCAAAAGAAGAGCAATGGTGGATGAATGGTTGGTAGTAGCTAGGAGTTTGGTGGTCTGTAATGTGAAGCCGTGCTCGCCAATGAAGCGGTTCGGCATGAATCCAAGTTGTTGGGGGCTGATTAATTGTTGCATATGTGGCATCAGACGCTGATTGAGCAGGCGTGTGAAGATTTTAGCATCGCAGTTGATTAACGAGATGGGACGAAAATTCCTCAGGTCTGTGAGATCGCCCTTTTTAGGGAGCAGGCACATGCAAGTAGTGAGCCAGCTGTTGGGAAAGATACCGAGGGTAAGAGCCTCCTTGAAGACGGCATGGGCA